TGGGTTTGCGATAATTCGCAACTGAACGCGCTTGAATCTTACACCTGTCTCAACCCCATTGCTCGACCTTTCCCGCCTTGATCCTTGTTTCCCTCTCCTAGCCTTACAGCATCCTCCTCTCTCATCGCCACCATTACGGAATGTTCACTGGTCATGGAATCGCTCGTCTATGAGAACTCGCCTTTGGCGGACTACCTCCAGGGTGAGTTTATCCCGGTTCTTATGTTGGGGGAATTACAAAGTCTTATCTGGTCATACGTCAGGGGAAGGCGAACACGACCCAAACTGGCCTGTCAAGGAGACAGACCATAGTGATGATTTCTCCGACTCCACGGCTGCGGATTTTGCCCCACGAGGAGTTTCGAAGTTCCAGGAGCGTATTCGGAATAAACTACCCAAGCCCCTTGAACGGAAAGTCTCGCGACAGCGGGCAGCTCTGGGTCGACTCTATGATGTCTGCACGGTATGAACACCCCACCTATTGCCTTGGCTCCGGTCAATACTGACGAAGCTCTCTGCCCAGTCTGCTCTGAACTCCCGCGTTGGACGAAGCGACAACGAAAGATTCCTGGAACAGTTCGGCTATGTCATCGTTGCGTCTCAGCTGCTGAACGAACACTCTGCGCCCTCTTACACATCAGCTGCAGATGTGATGTCTACGGCTCTTCCAGCAGACCTTCCGTCTATCTCCACCACGTTTGGCATACAAGGTGCTGTTGTCACGGCCTCGACTTCTTTCTCCGTAGCTTGGTTGTTACATTGGAGCCGGTCTCGAACCTCGTCTGGTCTTAACCCTCGGAAAGTCGGAGTTTTGTTGGTTCTCGTGCCTGTAATTGGGGTTCTGTTTTATGCATTCGCCAAGCGACAGTGGCTTAAATATTTGCGTCATCAAGCTGTTGACGCAGCTGTGACTTTTATCAGCAACGCTCAAGGGTTCGACTCTGCCGCTTCCGCATCGGTTGTATTTATACAGGAGGTTGAGCTGGTCTCAAGAGGCTACCGCATGTAAGTTGCTCTGACTTCTAGCCTAGCTGACAAAGGTCACTAATCCATCGAGTAGAAGCACACCGTTGCCCCCAGTAAGCCGACTGGAAGATCAGACGCAAACGCGACGATGTCTGAGACTGCGGCGAACTGTGTCGGAGTCGTTCTATCTCATGCTAGGCCAGTACATCCGAGCACAACATACCCTACGCCCACTTACCGATGCCACCAACCTCGCCAAGTATTACGATATTTACGATATATCAGAGGAGGAGCTTATGGAGGCCCAGGCAGCATTCGATGAGCGAGCCACCGAAGATCAGTACTCTCTACGCGCCCTTCGCACACTTTTCGGAAGGCTTTACATCGTGAGAAAGAGCATCCTCTGTTGTCTTCTCGCGCTCGGCGCGGATGGCGGCGGGTCCGATATTGCTAGATGGACCACGGCAGTTGAGCAGATGCGGGACCTGGCCCATGTGACCGGCGAAAACATCCACAAGATGACCAACATCCTCAACGAGGACGATCGTAAGTACCACTCCTCAACAGAATCCACGCGAGAGCTAATCATCGTGCCAGGTGATGTCATCCCGCCTTCTCCGCTACCAACAGCTTCGCCCAACAAGGACAATCTTCGTGCACAATACCGAAATATCAATTCGCTCTCCCAGGGAATTCGTGCGCTTCACGCAAAGATGCATATCCTCAAGGAGGCATCTAGCTCTAATCTCGAGCGACCGGATGCTGGTGAATTCGAGGCGAGCCTCATGCCCCAGTATGAATCGATTGGAGCGGACATTAGAAGCCTTCTCCAGGAGTGGGAGTCGGGCAAATCCGCATTGATGAGTAGTTTGGAAAAACCCGCAAATCCGGAATTTTCGCGACCCTCGAGCTTTCTGAAAACACCCCTGTCACCCACACCCAGCCTTGGGGGCTCTACTGCAGTCGAGGGCAGCCCTGCAGACGCCCTTCGAGCGTTGACTGGCGAAAACACAGATCCCAGCATCGTTCATACACTAGATGATGAGGAGGAAATTTTTGAAGCTGTAGCTCTTCCGGCTCGGAACAAGAGGATGTCATTAACCCGAGAAGAACGAATTGCGCGAGTCAAGGAAGATAGAGCACGACAAGCAGCCGCTCGGGAGCGCACTGATGCCAATACAAACATGCTCAAGGAGCTAGAAATGGTAATCAAGCAACGACCTCGTACCACGATAGCTGCGAAACGTGTCACAAGCATCTGATTCCGCCATCATTCGACGGCATTCCTCCAACCCTATCCCTCTACCGCCACCTCGATACCCGAATTCCTTTTCCCTTTCTCCTCCCCGCATATTATTATCACCTAAGCTTTACTCTACCTCGAGCTGGAAGCCGACTCTTCCTAGCAACCTTTGCAGATTGATACCCAGAAATGTATAGAGCGGACCGGTGTCAGCGGCGTTAAGGCAGTTTTGCATTCTATCTCAGCCCGGTTACTTATTATTACCTCTTTCCCCTGGCGGACACCCTTGGGCCTTACAATCGTTGATACTGTATATCATGTACTTTTTTCTTGACTCGTCCGTTCGTCTTCCTGTATACTCACTATGCTTGCCGAAGCAATGCTGGCGGCTTTCGCTTGATCTCGTTTGTTCTGTATCATCAGCCTTGTGTACATATCCTACATTCTAGCGTAATTATTGGTATTGAGACAGTATTCAATTATGTCTGAAGAATGATGTCTTGCTCCGTTTTTTAGGTGTATTTGATGGTATAGATTGTGTGATTTGCGTAGTACTACTGAAGGAACCTCAATCTTCGGTTACTATGGCCCGACTGTAAGTCGGCCAATTCTTTGCAATTCACTTGTATCAATTCATCACCAACATCTTAACAGAGCCTCATGCACTGCTTTCCGCCTCCTGCAGACGGCGATATTCCCCTTTCACGATATCCCGAAGCTCGGATTCCAGCGATGGCGCAGACGGCTGCCACCCCAGCAATTGACGAGCACGACTGGCCAGACACCGTACATTTAGCCCCCAACTAGCAGCCTCATAGCCTGCCCATTTCCGAGCGTCCTCGAAGCCAAAAGCCTCCTCTTCGGCGCTTGGGATGAATCCCTCCGCTACACAGATTTGTCCAATTGAACGAGCCAGCTCACCCCAGCAATGCTCCCCATTCTCACTGAGGTAGTATGCCTCCGGACCCCAAAGCCCATCATCTTGCTTCGAAAGGGCCTTTTCGAAAAGAATGACATATAAACTAGTTAGATCATGAATGTGAATATCCGTCGCGAATGAGAGGCCCCGGCCGATGATGGGAACTTTCTGGCGTTGGATGGTCAGTTTGGCTAGCTCGTATATCTGTCTGCTGCGTTGGGAGCAGGGTCCTCGGCCATGACCTAAGACGTAGCATTCAATCAGTAAGTTCCATGTTCTTATGGGTTGATGTCTATTGAAGTCTACCGTAAACAGTAACCGGGGATACGATAGCAGTCTTCAGGACTCCCGGACGCACCGATCCAGCCTCCAACACCGCTTTATCCACATCCCGGTGGAACGCATGGTCAGGGAAATTGACAATCTCCTGTATATCTTGCACATCATCATAGATCTTCTCGCCTTTCTCCCCATATACCTTGTTCTCAGTGTCTGAGAACGAGAAAATCCCAGCACCACTGGTATGTAACCAATAGACAGGGCGTTCTTCGGTGTGCCCTTCTAAAGCACCCTGAGCTATTGCCTTAGCTGCTCCGAGGTGGTCAGCAGCATCAGCTGTGTCTTTAAGGCCGGTGATATTAGCGGGTACTCTTCCCCTATGATGGATAATATGTGACAATGAATGGATGTGTCTACTAACGGATGATGATATCAGCCCTAGCACTTTCTGCTACCAGCGTCTCTGAATCATCGAGACCGCCGTGTATAATTTCGACAGTAGGATATTGTGCCTTGATCTTCTGCCCATTATCGCGGCTTCGGACCAGTAAGCGATAGTGCAGGTCTGGGTACTTGGATACAAGTACCGATAGAAGGTCGCCGCCGATGTAGCCGCTGGCTCCTGTTCTGTGGCTTGTGTGAGCTTCTTCTGTTGCACGTATTCTACCAAAGTGCTTTTGGTGTTTAGATGAGCGACTGACATGAATACTGTGGTCATATTTAGACTAGGTTTGCGTTGGAATGTTACTCCACTGTTACTATAAGAAGGAGAAATTGGATCGTTCGGACAAGTTAACAGCTGATCCTGATCTTTATATAGACTCTATAGCTCAGTAATTTGTGATGTATGTACTATTACCCTCTGGGTTGTTCGAATGCCTGTCATCATCTCCATACTGATTGCATTTGTAATCCAGCCATTACCGCGGAAGAGGACTGTCATAAGGAATCCATATTCCGCTTTTCTCCACCTGTCCCTCACTCAAGACCAATTGAATATCCATATATCAACTACTCCCCTGCAGTTCCCTGGTCATATTGCAGGGCTAGTAATATATAGCATGATCCTAGTAGTTGTGACGTGATGCATTGCTGAGTTATCCTCGTGACTAAGTGAATTATTATAACTTTTAGCGACTACAAGTATTAATAGTGTGTTAGGTGGTCAGTCCTACGCCTATATCATTCTCATTGAGACCTCAAAACTGTTAAGCATCGTTCTCTGATCAATAATACTCAAGGCCTGCAGACTGTGCACGATAATAGCGTGGTATGCTTGGATGAACAATGCACGCACTGTTTCAGTACTGCCTGCCTTGCAGAAAGCATACTATACCACCCTGTAGGCCTCTGGCTACAAAGAAATAACTTCCTATACTCCATATAGAGATGTTTCAGTTGCAGAATTTGTCATCAGTGGTAGTGACGCTTCTTTGTGACGGGTGCGGTATAGCCCAGCCTCAGGCAGCAGCAGACTAACCCCAAAGGGTGATATCAGCCTAAGGAATGACGCGACTGGGACGCGTGCCTCCCCACTAATGAAACCCTCGAACGCGAATTCGCTGCACTTTCAGGTCCCTCAATAAATTCACCCCAACCTGAAAGACACGCCGCTATCCTTCCTACGCACTCAATTCCTTCTGTCAGTTCTTTACGACTTTCATTCTTCACGATCCTGCTTTCACCTGCTAATCATTACCTACTTATCTCAGCCTCTCCTCATCTTCCTCTTCTCCTTCTCATTAGCTTCTCACTGTACTCACATACCATCACATCAAAAGTGAGCGTCACAAGCTTCAACTGGTTCAAGATTGTATGCTAACAACTATTTCAGTGCTTGAAGCTCGCCTAGAACAAGCCAGTCTCCTGAAGCGCGTGAGTAGCTCTCGATCATCTACTGTTGCGTGCCATTGCTTGATTACTGACATTCGGTTTCTTCAGGTCGTCGACGCCATCAAGGACCTGGTCCAAGACTGCAACTTCGACTGCAATGACTCCGGTATCTCACTTCAGGCCATGGACAACTCCCATGTCGCTCTCGTCTCCATGATGCTCAAGGCCGAGGGATTCTCCCCCTACCGTTGCGACCGTAACATTGCCCTCGGTATCAACCTGGTCTCCCTGACCAAGGTCCTGCGTGCCGCCCAAAACGAAGACATCCTCACTCTCAAGGCTGAGGACTCTCCCGATGCCGTCAACCTGATGTTCGAGAGTGCCGAGACGGATAGGCTTAGCGAGTATGATATCAAGTTGATGGACATTGACCAGGAGCACCTGGCCATCCCGGAGACAGAGTACGCTGCTACAGTAGAGATGCCGGCAGCAGAGTTCCAGCGTATCTGCAGGGATCTGAATGCTCTCTCTGAGTCCGGTATGTTGTTCTTTCCATTGGCAATGGGTTTGATTCGCGACTAATTCCTCTCCCAGTTGTCATTGAGGCCACGAAGGAGGGTGTCAAGTTCTCCTGCCAGGGTGACATTGGCAGTGGCTCCGTCACCGTCCGTCAGCACACCAACGTCGAGAACCCCGCACAGAACGTCTCCATCTCCCTCACCGAACCCGTCGCCCTCACTTTCTCCCTCAAGTACCTCGTCAACTTCTGCAAGGCTACCAACCTGTCGAACAAGGTTACCCTGTGCCTGTCGCAGGAGGTGCCGCTCCTCGTTGAGTATGGCCTTGGTAGCGGTCATCTGAGATTCTACCTGGCTCCTAAGGTACGATGACTTCTCGTTCAATTTTATTGAGAGTTATACTGACTTATAATGTCTAGATTGGCGATGAGGAGTAAGTGGACATACATGCGAGATCATAATGACGAGTGGGAGCAACATGGAGGCAACGATTTCTCTTTCTTTTCTTTTCAACTTCTAATGTTCGGAAAATATCCTGAATGTGTTCGGGGGCCTGTGTTCATTTTTGTTTCTATAATATCCAGCTAGATGCTAAGCGACCAACGTGTTCAAAGTCCAATTGGTTACGATAATTCTGTCCAGTCTCTCTACATGTCTTATATGAAGTACGAAGCAGTGGATTTGTGCAATGAAGCTGCATTCTCAACAGACGTATATAACTATCCTGCAATAGCAGCTTAGAACAGATGCCCATAACACATCTCTTCCTCCTCAACCATACAGTATATTCCCAACCCCCCTAGGCCATCAAGAACCTAAAAAAGGGACCCATACAGGTCCCCAAACCCAACAATTAGCCGGGGGAATAACAAAGTCCTTTCCAGTTCTCTAACCGCGAAGACACAAGAATTCATAAAGATAGGGAATCCAACTAACCTCAGAAAAAAAAGAAGTGAAGCGCCACCCCCACCAGAATAATCGGAATCGAATGATACCAATCCCATCCTCCCCCTCTAACCCACCCCCATAAAGGTGGTGAGCAGCGAGGGGGGAACAGGAAACGGCATGCTGCGTATTGCACTAAAGTGTCGCACACCCGGTCAAAAGATGCCGAGTGCACACACAATCTTCGCAACGACTCTCCCATGGGGAAAAAGAGAAAAGGAAAAGAAATGCAAGAGCGAACCCTTACATCCCTTCGCCTTCCTCCCCCCGATGTTTCTGATGCCAATTGCAGGTGTGTGCAAGGATGTCACACCAGGCCCTTGAGGGCAGTACCGGCCATTTGGAAAATGAAATCATTTTCCAAATGGCGGGTGCATAGGGTGAAGATTCCTCCGAATTTCTCATTTGCAAGGGGGTTTCGGGTGATTTCCCCCGGAAGGGGAAATCAGAGCCGAGGACAGGAAGACCTGGAGGTCTTTCTGTCGTGTGTAGCAAAGAAACGCAGCATTGGTGGGGATGGCGCTTGGGGGAGAAGAAGAGAAGGTGAGTCAAGCTTAGCTGTCGTGGGTTTTTTTATGGTGCGATGTGCTGGTGGTGGGCTTGACCGCTTACTGGATTGGGTGGGCTGGGGGAGTACGGGGAGGTGTGTTTGTTTGTTTTGTTTGTTTGTCATATCGAGGTGGATGGAACTGTTTCTACAGTACGGAGTACATTTGACTTTCTTGTGAATTCATCTGGGACTTCAAAAGATTAGGCATGCCTTTTACTTAGTGGTTGGTATTGCTTATTTTTGTACGATACACCTTCTGGAATATTTCCGGCGTTGCGGTTGCCTTGGCTGCATCTGTCTACATGGCTAACCTGTCGGAAAGAGCTGTCAGGATTTCTTGTCTACCATAAATCCCACAACGCTGATTTAACTTGCGTATCATGTCGGGCTCTGGTCCTGCTCTGAACTTTGAAACCCACCTTTGTGTCACCGTGGTGCTGTGAAGCAGCTACTCAATCTCAGAGCCCTTCGGCGCCGGCCATTCTGCACAAAGCCTTATACACCTGAACGATTCATAGATACTTCCTTTTCTTCTACTCCTTACTGAGACATTTTAGAACCAAGCGACGGCCCTACTGCATTATTTCTATGCGTGTCAGGTCACGATCATAGCCGCGTTCAGTAAAGCTTGCGATGCTAATCTCTAGCATGGCTCGGAATCACCCCACCAAGCTGGAAAGCCCTGTGTTGCGGGCCCAGTGCATACGCTGCCTGCTGCCTGAGATCTGCGATGTGATGTCTGGGAGATGCTAAGCTCCAGTAACAAGCAACAGATACAGCAACGCTACATGTGCGAAGGCCCACATGTTCGAGTTCGCCACGTCCAACTTTGCTGTCTACCAAGACACGCTATGGTCTCAAGACATCCTCGAGGCCAAAGAGTCTTCAAGTTGATAACATTGTTTACTCTAGATAACTTCGGTCGCGGTATGAGCCGTAACATTCCTTTGATGGCTGTAATCCTTACTCCATGCGAACGTCATGAGCAGGGGAGTTCGTTCCTCGCCTCCAGCCACCTCCAATAAGCGTTACGAGAAGATAAGCAACTATTTTCTGGCATACTAGTTGGCTGCACAGGGAACAAATGCTATTGATTCTTTGTTTCAGAAGAAGAGACATCATCATACTTTGATTGCTACAGATTACGGAGTAGACACGTCACAATCGCCCGGAAGCAATTCACGGAACAAGCAACAACATGCAGTAAGGAGAGTTGGAGATCGAACAAAGGAGATAATTTACGGAGTCTCCGTACACAGTGCAGCCTTCTGAAATGTAAGCTTCACCGCAAGGTGCTTGTTACTCAGTTTCTTATGCGTGGGCCGGCAATCCAGATCCACGATGGTCCGTATCCACACTGAAGTGCTAGCATGGTTGCCCTTCAGATTTCCCGGCGAACCCAGAGCCACGGAGTATCTTTGGTGCTGAGTTTGAGCCCAAATGGATACCAGATCCGGGATTGATAGTTGATCACCGGCGCGTCGGAGGGCCGATCAGCCGTGACCGAGTCGGTGGTTTGGGCGTCGCGTCCCGTCAATATTTCCCTTCCCTGCTCTCATTATAGTAGGCCATAGAACAAGTTCCGGGATAGGGCATTTATAGGAAGTCGCAGGTTGACGTGTTTTATGGCTGGGTTGCTTTTGCTGGCCCCTTCCATCAGTCACGTAACTCCGCCCGAGCAGGCAAAACAGGCGAGTAGCAGTTTTTCCGGACCCTCCTTCAATGACTGTTTGGCCTAACGGAGTAAACCTACAGCCGCTTCATGCATTCTCGACGGGATCATCACCTCCATCTTCCGGCTAGGTCTTTCTTAAGGTCCAACGCTGAGATTCAGTGTCCAGCTCCACACAAATGCAGCTACGTACGTGCCACAAGTCTCCGTCGACAGCCTCGCCACATACAGTCCAGCAACGACACACATTAAGATGCTAAGAACAATGGCATTTTGAATTCAGCCAGTCAGAATCGTCAATGACAAGGCTGAAGGTAGTCCACCCGGTGTGGCCTGAAGCGATCGACTATGTGTAATAATAGCGCTGATCAATCCACGCTCTAGTTGGGGCTTATTGTTGCGCTAGCTGCTGCAGGCCGCAGTTAGGGCCGCCTAGATCATGCATCCCAAAGGAGCAGGCCGCCCGGCCGTGCTTGACGGAATAGACATGGCTGATGGCTGAAATAATTCTAGAAACAAGGCATAAGTGTGCACTAATGCGGATGAAGGGAGTGAGATCTAATTTATTATCGAAAAATGGCTGGACACGAAGCGGGGCGATCGCTTCCTAACATTAACACTCGAAATTGGCCCTTCTATAGTTTGCCCTGTGGGCTTTATTGATTAGGTGTATCCCATACATACGGGACCTTCTGTTCAACCCTTATCTCTGGCGGAATTCCGCCTCTCCCTCGTTGCCAGATTTCCTCTCGCTTGGTGACCTGAAGGCTCTCGGAACGGGTCTATCTAGGAACTCTCATTGACTGGCACCATGGACGAAAAGGACGCCAGCGCTCACGACCCGTATCCATCGGATAAGGAGCAGACCCCATCGTCGGACGAGGAGGAGCAAGAGCTTCACAATCTGACACGAATCGCCTCTACCAGAACTGGTCGAAGGATTTCCCAAGCTGCTACGATCATTGAAAAGGATGACCCCCGTTTGGATCCCGCCAATCCGGCGTTCGATCAACGTCTCTGGGCAAAACTCGTCCTAACGGCCCTGAACCAGTCAGGCATTGTACAGCAGACGCAGGGTGTCGTTTTTTCTAATCTTTGCGTGTCTGGATCAGGCTCAGCATTACAGATCCAGAAGACTATTGCTACGCAGTTGGCAGCTCCCTTCCGCGCTGCCGCACATGCGCTTTCAAGACGAGCGTCCCCTCCACCAAGGCAGATTCTCCACAGCTTCGATGGCTTCCTCCAAAGTGGAGAGCTCCTGCTCGTTCTCGGTCGCCCTGGAAGTGGATGTACAACATTCCTGAAAACCCTTTGTGGCCACCTGGGTGGTCTGACGCTCGAACCTCAGAGTACCATTCATTACCAAGGCATCGAATATGAGGATATGATCAAGCACCACCGTGGAGAGGTGGCTTACAACAAGGAAGTCGATCAACACTTTCCACACCTTACCGTTGGTCAAACGCTTTCATTCGCAGCGCATGCGCGGACCCCCCAGAAACGAATTGAAGGCTTGACACGCTCCGAATATGTTGAAACCCTCACTCAGGTTGTCTTGGCTGTGTTTGGCCTCTCACATACCTATCACACCAAGGTAGGGGACAATTTTGTGCGAGGAGTTAGCGGTGGTGAGAGGAAGAGGGTCAGTATCGCCGAGATGTTCGTCTCAAGGTGTCGTATCGGAGCTTGGGATAACAGCACACGAGGGCTCGATGCGTCGTCTGCTCTAAAATTTGTCAGGGCATTACGTCTTTCTGCCGACATGGGTCGATCGTGTCATGCTATCGCTGCATATCAAGCTTCTCAGTCGATGTACGATCTCGTCGACAAAGTCGTCGTCCTCTACGAAGGTCGCCAGATCTACTTCGGTCGCCGCGATCGTGCAGTACGTTACTTCGAGGAAATGGGCTGGGAATTACCAGATCGCCAAGTCAGCGGCGACTTTCTGACTTCAGTTACCAACCCAGGCGAACGAAAGGCCCGTCCTGACATGGTCGACAAAGTACCACGCACGGCGAAGGAGTTCGAGGAATATTGGAAGCGTAGCCCCGAGTATCAGGAGCTCTGCGGTCAGATAGAGGAGTATCAACGCGCTCATCCACCGGATTCAGACGAGGCCAAAGCATTCAAGGCCAATCATGAACAGCAGCAGGCCCGCCATACTCGGCCACGCAGCCCATATCTCCTCTCTGTTCCGATGCAAGTCCGCCTCTGCCTGCGCCGGGCTTTTCAGCGACTACGGAACGACCTACCGACCGTAATCGTTACGGTAGTGACACAACCCATTCTCGCATTGGTGATCGGTTCTATTTTTTTCAATTCTGCGCCCACCACTGCCACATTTTTCCAGAAAGGGGCTGTGCTATACTTCGCTGTGCTTTTCAATGCCTTGATCGCCCTCAATGAGATTATTCAGCTATATAGCCAGCGGCCAATTGCTGTGAAGCAAGCGGGTTATGCGTTTGTGCATCCTTTCGCTGAGGCCTTGGCCAGTTGGATCATGGATCTGCCTATCAAATTCACACGGGGTACTCTCTTTTGTGTGATTCTTTATCTGATGTCCAACCTTCGACGAGAACCATCGCAGTTCTTCATTTGCTACATGTTTCTGTTGACTTCTGTCTTGACGATGTCCGGGATTTTCCGTAGCTTAGCTGCGGCTACAAGGACAAGCGCGCAGGCAATGGCGATGGCTGGTGTTTGTATCTTATGCATTGTGGTATACACTGGCTTCGTCTTGCCACAACCATACATGCACCCGTGGCTTTCATGGATCCGCTGGGTTAACCCGATCTACTATGTGTATGAGGCCATCTTAGCGAATGAGTTCCATGGCAGGAACTTTGAATGTGCATCGGTGATCCCAAGCTATGCTGTTGGCTCATCCTTCATCTGTTCAACCGTGGGTGCCGTTGCAGGAGAGCGGTTCGTCTCCGGGGACGCTTATGTGGAGCAGAGTTACCAATACTACTACAGCCATGTTTGGCGGAATTACGGTATTCTCGTCGCCTACCTGGTATTATTCACCGGCCTCTATTTGTTTCTTTCCGAGTACAATTCGGGTGAGACATCCAAAGCAGAAACCCTGGTTTTCCGGTCTGGTCATGTTCCACAATATCTGCTATCCTCCGATGGGATCGAAGATGGAGAAGCGCCCCCAGACAAGCCCGAAGTGCGGGACCAAGTGGATGCTATTAACCTTCCTCGGCAAACAGATATCCTCTCGTGGAAGGGCCTCAATTATGATATACCCGTCAAAGATGGTACCCGGCGACTTCTCGATAACGTGAATGGATGGGTTAAGCCAGGCACTTTGACCGCGCTGATGGGGGTTTCCGGGGCCGGAAAAACTACACTTTTGGATGTCCTCGCCCAGAGGGTATCTATCGGCGTTGTTACCGGCGATGTTTTAGTGAACGGAAGAGCTTTGAAGGCCAATTTTCCACGAGAAACCGGGTATGTTCAACAGCAGGATCTTCATATGGAGACAACTACGGTACGCGAGGCCCTCCGCTTCAGTGCCATGCTCCGTCAGCCCGCATCAGTATCTGAAAAGGAGAAGTACGAATATGTCGAAGAGGTCATCAAGGTTCTACGCATGCAAGACTTTGCGGAGGCTGTTGTGGGCTCTCTGGGAGAGGGCTTGAACGTGGAGCAGAGAAAGTTGCTGAGTATTGGTGTTGAACTTGCTGCGAAACCGACATTGTTAATATTCCTCGACGAGCCAACCAGCGGTCTAGACTCACAGAGTTCCTGGACAATCTGCGCACTCCTGAGAAGGCTTGCCGATCACGGCCAGGCAGTCCTTGCCACCATCCACCAACCGAGTGCCCTGCTGTTCCAGACCTTCGATCGCTTGTTGTTCCTAGCTAAAGGAGGCAAAACTGTCTACTTTGGTGATATTGGAGACCAATCCCACGTACTTTTGGAATACTTTGAGCGCTGTGGTGCTAGGCCCTGCGGGGACATGGAAAATCCGGCGGAGTACATTCTTGAGATCGTCGCGGGGGAAGCATCGGAAGGCATTGACTGGGTTCAGAGATGGAACGATAGCCCTGAGCGCAAGGAGGTCCTCGCAGAGCTCGAACGTCTTCAGGATCCGCAACAACAGCCCGAGCCACGAGCCCGGGATGGCGATAGCAGTAATATGGAATTTGCTATGCCTTTCACCAGCCAACTCTACCACGTCATGAAGCGTGCGTTTCAGCAATACTACCGCCAACCGGAATATGTGTTTTCAAAGTACTCGTTGGGTATAGCGTGTGGATTGTTCATCGGTTTCTCCTTTTATAAAGCGAACAACACCGAACAGGGTTTCCAGTGTGCTCTCTTCAGTGTCTTCCTCCTAGCCACGGTTTTCACTACCCTCGTCAACCAGATCACGCCCAGATTCGTTGCGCAGCGGGCGCTATATGAAGTCCGGGAGCGGCCATCCAGGGTCTACTCGTGGAAAGTATTCATTCTCTCAAACGTCTTCGTCGAAATCCCCTACCACTTTGTTCTGGGAGTTTGTGTTTGGGCATCGTTTTACTGGGCTGTGATGGGCACGGGTCAAGATGCCGAGCGACACGTCCTTGCCCTTCTCTACATCGTCCAATTCTATCTGTATGTGGCCAGTATGGCTCACTTCGTGATAGCCGCGATCCCCCAGGCACCGGTTGCAGGCATATTGGCCGTTCTCATGTTCGCATTTGCGTTCATCTTCAATGGTATGCTGCAACCACCCGGAGACCTACCCGGATTCTGGATTTTCATGTACCGTGTCTCCCCTTTCACGTACTACACGGCCGGAGTCGGCAGTTCAATCCTCCATGGTCGCCCAGTGGAGTGCAGTACTTCCGAACTCAGTGTTTTCGACCCTCCATCCAACTACACCTGTGGACAATACATGCAGAAGTATGTCGAAGCCGCCGGAGGCCAGGTGTACAATCCAAACGCCACCTCTGCCTGCGAGTACTGCTCCATGACTATAGCTGATGAGTATCTTGCTCTTCGCTGGGTCTACTGGAAAGACCGCTGGCGCGACTACGGAATTTTCTGGTGCTATTTCGTATTCAACATTGCCGGCGCCGTCATGTTGTACTATGTCTTCCGAGTGAAGAAGTGGGGAAAGGGGAAATAAAATAACCAACCGACATTCTTTTTCGACTATATCGACTGATTGGTCTATATATACATTCACTGCTTTATGCATATAGCTGGTTTCGGTTCTTACTACTACTTCTACCTGTTAATACTCGGTTTTTTTTTTATACATATATTTCTGCTGCTCGAGCGAATCTGTTGATAACCACATCGCCTGCTATATAGTTGGATCAATCATATGAGCGACTTTTCTCCTTTTTAATGCAATCTCTGTAATGATCTACTATCTAATTCGGAACAGAATTAAGTAGTAGTAACGAGGAAGTAGTTTCCGGGTATACCTCGCGTCCTACGCACCCAGCCAGGATACCAAGTCCCTTACTCCCTCACCCCCTCTATTCATCCCATAATACCAACTCCTAACCCTTCAGCTACCGACATACCTCCTCATTACCCATCCAAAAAAAAAAAAAAAAAAAAAAAAAAAAAAAAAAAAAAAA